TCTTTTCGAGTCCTGTTGGGTTTCAAAATTAAGCATCATCAGTATTGGTTTGTGTTTTGGACTAGGCTCCTCTGGATTCCCCTCTTGCCCATGAAACTCTCTGGGTGGCCTTGAACAAGACACACTCTCTCAGCCTCAGGGGAAGGCAATGGCAAACCTCCTCTGAACAAATCCTGCACAGAAAACCCCATCATAGGGTCGCCCTAAGTAGGAAAAGTCTTGAAGGTACACACAACAGCACACAACAACAACAACAACAACAACAAATCTCTTTCATGGAAACTGATAGGGAATTGGCTTGCATTTGACAGAGTCTGTTATAGCTCCCAAGCAGACAGAAATGTGTTTTTAAATGATTGTAGCCCGCCTTGAAGCCCACTGTGGGAGAAAGGCAGGATATAAATCCTTGAAATAAAATGAAAATAAATGAAAATTGTTGCTATGTGCCTTCAAGTTGTTTCGGACTTATGGCAAACCTACGGTGAACCTGTCACAGGGTTTTCTTGATGAGTTTTTTCAGAAGTGGTTTGACATTGCCGTCCTCTCTGAGGCTGAGAGGGTGTGACTTGCTCAAGGTCACCCAGTGGCCAAGCAGGGATTCGAACCCTGTTCTCCAGAATCATAGTCCAACGCTCAAACCACTACACCACACTGGCTCTGGAAACACAGAACCAGAAGTGAGAAATTACTTCAGGTTGGCTTACCTTTGTTTAACCTCCATTTCCAGATACAGGGTGTGAGTTTTTGAACTACACAGGGCTCTTCCTGACAAGACAGCCTTATCAGGAAGAGCTTGGGGGAATTTAAAAGTGGAAATGCAGCATCTTAAAAACTGCTCTGTCTCAACAAAAGTGTGTGTTTTTAAAGATGCATTGCACAAGACAAAAGGGAAAGTGTACCAGCAGGTTCTCTTGCACCAACAAGATAAAAATGGATGTCTCTGTCCAATCTTGGTTCATTTCAGTGTGATTTGAACATACATGTGGCTTGTCCGTGTTATCTAAACAAAAATTTGTTCCATGAAGAAATAGTTCATCAAGAATAATTAATGTACATACATCTATAGCCTTATGCATACACCTTGCAAAACAGGTATTATTATTATTTTTTGTTGAGGTTTGCACAGCTTCTGCATGGAAGGAGGAAATTCATCACATGTGGTGTGGTCCTTCCTTGTGCTGTAATTCTTACCCTGTGGGAATGGTAACATAATGCTAACTTGAGTTCCTTATCATGGCTATTTTCTCAGTAAGTCTGTGAGGTAGGTGACCACAGTGCAAATTTTATACACATGGAGATTTGATATTGGTGAGATCCAATTAAAAACACAGCTAGAAAAGACATAGTCTTCTTTGTGACATTGGCATTACACAGTAATGGAGATCTGCTCCCTGGAAGCAAATGCATCCTTAACATTTAGTGTGTTAAATCAGAACCCTTCTCCCTGGTATGCTAGCTTCCCACATGCAAAATTATTCATGAATGTAAATTGTTACACCTCCATGGATTCTGAAGTAGCACAGTGTCAGGGGGAGATTTTTGCATGCCTTCAGTTTCTGGACAAACAATGGTAACATGTCAGAAGTCTAAGTTTACTATGATGAACAGTTTTGGCTATCTTTCTGCTCTGTGTACCCTACTACCTTTGCTGAACTTGTGGCACACCTGCTCTATGTGGACTGTGAGGTAGTGTGGGAACTCGGGTGCTGCATGAGTTGTCAGGATCAGATGGACCCACCTGAAATTTGGATGCAGGCATATATGGAGAAGTAACCTATATAATGTGCTAGGGTGAAATATTACTGGCATAAAATGATACCAGTGCCAATTAAAAAACAAAAACAGAATAAGGGTTTGTGTTTCCCTCATATTATTCTGAAATTCTGTCCAAGTTAATGTATATTCTACAGTTCATATATATATTGGAAGGAAATCTGAGAGAAGAAAGCAATCCTCAGAGGAGAAAAAAGGATTTTCAGAGTTAATCCAAAAGTTCTATGTGAATTCTGCTTGTGCATATCAAAATCTTGCATTGATAACTGGTGGTCTTTCTTGCACTCCTTTGATACTCACAGTGGATGCAGCTCACACACTTTCAAGGATATCTGTGTAGTGGCTGGATAAAATCTTGATTTGTATTTTCTGAGAACAATTTTTGCAAGGCTAAATTTCTGAACAAAGTAACAAGGTGTACATTCTTTTGCAGAAGACACAGAGTCTGATTCCTACTTCAGTTAGACCACCTGAAATCATGAGACCGAAGTTCCATTGATTGCATTTGGTCTGTTCTAGGAATGACTAGGTCTGGATCCAATTCACAGAAGTAAATATGCAAGAAAAGAGTATGCTTATTGCTGTTGCTCTTACCTTTGTTGCCATCGATTTCCTAAATGTCCATGAAGTTGTGTGCAGAACACAAAATAGATACAGTCCCTTAGTAATGTGTTTCCAGCTTCCATAATACACCAGCTTCAATGCAAGAAGAGTGAGAGGTGATATCCCAAAGACATAAGTTATAAATCAAAACTCATTCTGTTGTTCAACTCTATAGACAGCCACAGATTTAGTAACAATTTTTCTAATGGCCAAGGATTTATAAATCTTCAAAGTATAAAGTTGAAGTTCTTAATTTTAAGTTTTGGAATACAATATGTGGAAGCTTGTTTCCACAAAAAAGCTTTTTCAGATGTTGGTCTGAAAAGAAAGAATGCTTCATTAAAACTAAAACCGCATGATAATGTAAATTGCAAACAGATTTCTGTAAAAGCAACATTGATGGGAGCAACAGACAGGCACAAAAACATGCTAAAGTGTTTGTTTGGGCTAGAGGACTATAGCATGTGTAAGACTTTATCCAAATGAAGGTCTCTCCTTTCACAGTATTCTTTAATTGGCTGAATAAGGAAATGAATTTACTGCAATATAGAAAAGAAACTCACTCTTGGTACTCTGATAGAAACAAAGGATGTGTAAGATGTGCTTGGACTAGCACCTTTTGTTGGCTTTCCTGTATTTCACTTCAGATTTGTTGTTATTAGTCTTGATACCTCTCTCTGTAGCTTTCCTGTATTTGCATGCTTCCTCTCCTCAGGGTCATTGGCTTCAGGTTTTGTTTTTGAGAAATTTACAAAATGAGAAACACACTTATATGCACCTATATGAACATCAGTAAATTTTATTGTATGAAAATGGTGGAGAGAGGGAGCTTGAGTTATTCCTGTGGAATTGTTAGAACAGGAGCAGGAACAAGCCAACACCTGTCCATGTAGATATCATAATATCTCTGAGCGGTGTGATGATAGTGTGGATTTGTGTAGAACCCTGTTTCAAGTTGCTAAGGGAAGGGAAAAGACTGATGATGAAGGATGAGGGGCAAAGCAAGAATGTGGCTTTTCGCAATAAGTTTGAATGAATGTTTTACAATGTCTGGCATCCCACATTCTTGCTTTGCCCCTCATCGTTCATCATCAGTTTTTTTCCCCTTTCCTTTGTAATCTTTGCAGTCTTTGAAGGGATTGCACCACTTATATGCACCTATATGAACATCAGTAAATTTTCCTTCCCTTTGCAATCTTTGAAGAGATCTTTGCTTTTGGAAGAAATGAAGCAGATGCAGAGCACTACTTTAGCGCAACTGAAAACAAGAAGTTGAGATACAGTGTGGAGTGCCACCTTCACATACCTTTTCTAGTTTGTTACCACCCCCTCCTTGAACAAGATAGACTCTTGAGGAGGTTATGAATTCCTTTTAGGAGTATATATAGAAAATTTATCTTGATAGTTTCTGAGAAAAGCAAATTGTTGTTAGTATGTGGTTGTGACATACACACTATATGCTGTTGGTACTACTACTACTTCTTTTTCTTCTTCTGTAACTTTTACAAACATACAGTGGACTGTGGAGAGCCAGCGTGTTGCAATGGTTTGAACATTGGAATATTACTCGAAAGCAGGGTTTGAATCCCCTCTGAGCCTTGAAAACCATTGGGTGATCTTGAGCAACTCACTCTCTCTTAGCCTCAGAGGAAGCCAAAGGCAAACCCCTTCTGAAGAAATATTGCCAAGAAAACCCTGTGATAGGATAAGTTAGAAATAAATGACTTGAAGGCAAACAACACCATACAGTGCACTATTATACTTGAGAACTGGGAACTGGACAACCCTAAACACTTGCATCTTATGGCCAGTGCAGGATAAGTCCTCTCCATGTCTGAGCTACTGGAGAAGCACTGAAACCATATTCAGGCTTTGCTCAAGAGCATCACAAACTCCAGCAAAACTTTAATGGGAGTCTGTTATTGTTTGGCTTTTTGAATATACATGGAAGAGGGAGGAGTGAAAATAGGAGGAAGAAATATCGACAATCTGAGATGATATGCTGATGACACCATAAAACTAGCAGAAAACCTCACAGACCTGGAACAACAACTAAGGAAGATCAAAGAAGAAAGTACAAAGGCTGTTGAACATAAAGAAAACAAAAATAATGACCAGACAGAACTTATACACATTCAAACTAGACAATGAGGAAATAGAAATAGT